CAGTTGAGTGAACATTTGGTCGGCATCGCCGAGTGCGCGGGAAGAGCTTTGGCGCAGAATAAGTCTTCACAAGATGTGTGTTTGCCATCTGTCGTTCTGGTCGGCATCGCTTTGTTGCAGTCAGTTTTGGTATCAAGCAGTTTTGAAGCAGTATGGCATCGAATCATGTTCTGCGCGCCTGAGCCGCCATGGGTGGTTCCAGCGTACTTGCAACGGGAATGCGATGACTGCCGTCACGTTTCCGATTGGGGCCGTGAGATGGCGCGCGCTGCGACTGACAGGATGGTTTCGCTTTTTTATTGAATTGTTCGAGGAGTTCAGTGCACCGCCGCCTCCAGTTCCTGAGCCATCTGCAAATCGCAGACCCCGTGACGGGGCTGAGCTAGCCAGGAGGGGGGAGAAGAGGTCTCGCGCTTCATCGAGTGCGGTTGGCGGAGTAGACGACAACGACGCGGCCGCTGTCATCCGCGAGCACATCAGAACGATCTGGCGGGGGCGTCGTGGCTCTTAATATATTGAGGCAGACTTCAAGGTCACGATGAGACATTATGCTGGGAAAGAGCTGCAATTCTATTGGAAGGTCTGTCACGAGGACAACAGGGCGCCTGCAGATTATACGATTTGTACGTGTTGCTCGTGAGTATGCAGAGATTGGTATTTACCCAGATCTGTCGGCGGTAGTTCTTCCTCTGCTGCTGCTGCTTCGCCACCTGTCGCCGCGTCGTCTTCTTCCGCTGCATCACCCCCTCCACATCAAACGCGAGATTCGCAGGGCGATGGCGACGACGTGCCGAAGAAGAAGGCTCGCATGAGCAGCGCCAGCAATGTGACGGGCCTGCCGCCGGGCGAAGCTGCCCCTCCGGGCACTATCGTCCGCCTTCCTGGAATGCCACCTATGATGCCGCCGCCCAAGCACAAGCCAGTTGTCCTCGTGCCGAGGCAGCCGGACGGACCGCCGCCTGCGCGCCTCAGGACTCCCCTGCCACCTCCGCCACCGGAGCCGCCGCGCAGGGTAGAGCCGCTGCCGCCACCACCACCGCCTCCGGCGAGTACTGCTGCCGCCAGCAGCGACGACGAGTCGATCGAGACTCGCGCGTCTCGTTCAGGATCCCCGACTTCTCCTTCCGAGGGGGCCTTGGCCGCGGTGGGTGGTGACCGGGCCGGAGATCCAGTCGTGGCCTTCGAGCCGATTGCCGTTGGCGAAGAGCAGCTGAATTCGCTCTTCGAGCAGGCCGTGAAGCGGGCAAGCAGAGGAACTTCATAACGCGCGTTGACCCTCGATCGCTCCCATCAGGGGGATCGACTGGCCGCCCAGACGAGCGGGGCGCTGAGAAGTTATAGCGCGCGTGAACTGCAATATTCATCCGTTCAACGCCCAGATCAAGTTCCCGCCGGCATGGTCTTCTTGGAAGAAGAGTTCTATGGGCCGCACGAAGGACACCCAGTCCTGGAGGCGCATAGAAGTTCGTGTTGCCATGAATTCTTCTGTTGATGCTGAAGAGTACGATCGACTAGCAATCTGAGTGCAGCCTCCGAGAGTACGCGCTGACGGAACATCGTATGTGTGTACGTCCCTGCAGCTGGGTCAGCATGAGATGACTATTACGAATGCTAAGAATCGTGCCAAATATTGCTCTGGATTGTGTCGTATCAGTATACAAGAAGAGCTGTTGTCTGCGCGCGTTGCCGAGCTGTCCGCGCCGGGCACGGCTGCTGCCGACAAGGAGATCGTCGAGAAGGTGATCAGGAACGCCGATCCGCTTCGAGGACGAGCGGGGACCAACCTGGCCGGGGTGCTGCTCTACATCATCGGCATCACGTTCGCTTGCCCAGTCTCAACCGACACGGTGGCGCGCCCAGATTGGGAGCCATCGATGGCAAAAGACATCATCGAGCGGAATCATGATCCTGTTGTTGCCTACGCATCATCATCAAATCATCATGTCATCAGTGATTGTTTCTCTGGTTTGACTCAAAACCATGGCCTTGTAACTGTTGCGCTAGGTTGCGAGCCCGGTTGCTCGAGCCTTGAGGTTGCCAGCGCGCTGAACTCGTACTTCGAGCCAGACGCCGACATCACGAGTCATAACGTCTTCGATTTCTTCAGAGAGTCAGGTCAGAAGGTTAGAGTCGATAGGCTAGCACTTTCAGTTTTCCCCGCCGAAGCCGCAGAGGAGAGAGCTAGAGACGATGTGAACGCGATCGTCGGTGATGACGACGTCGCTACTGTCTCCAAGGAGCGCTTGCGAGATGAAGAACAAGATATCCGATAAGTCAACTTACATGGCAAGCCAGAACACGAAGGAAAGAAAAGGAAAGCGTGCCTGCAAATCCCGCTCCGCACAAGCGTCGCTATTAGACGACTGCACACACAGTTTGGTCACGTACCTAATCGTGTTCTCGTGCAGCTATTGCGAATCTCCAGGATGTCGTCGGACTACATTGAGCCAAGAATGAGATGTCACGAGTCGGCGAGTTCGCGCCTGCTCAGTGGGTGCTCGGAAAGACGCCCCGTGCCCCAGCGAGCCTATTCGGCGACGAGGAAGCTTTCGACTCAGGAGTGCTTGCGAATGGTGCAGAGGACGGAGCCGACGAGTTTTCTCGCCAGGCTGCGATCCGCGCGTCTGCTAGGAAAGCATTCGTGGAACACGACGTCGGGAGTAGAACGGCGAGGGCCGCTCTCCGAAAAGCAACGCCACTAGCCGGGGAATATCAAGTAGGTGACGCAGTGTGTTTCCGCAAAAAGCCGACCGACGGCGAAGTCACTGCCATGTGGAGCACTGGTTCTCGCATCGTTGGATTCGATGGCAAAAAACGCATGGGTTATCGCAGAGGGTGTACCTGTCTGCGCGGCTGTCGACAAGCTCCGACCGTGTACTGCGGCGGAGGCGTTGGCAT